GCTCTCAATAATCATGTGATAGGCATTGTAGTGTCATCATTAACTTTCAACAAGAAGGTGGTTCTCATGGGAGTCGTTATCCATGTTCAATCATCGGGAGCGAGGGTGTGGATGGTTTGGTTTTCTACAGGTCTCGCTATGTATGGGTCTGTTATCATGTGCTACTCGGATATATAAGAACTTCAGAATTTTCCGCACAGGTCGCCCAGTCTTCTAAAGTCCTTCTTACATGAAACAGGTAAGTGACTTGAGTTAGTTGGAATAGGCACATTTTCAGGAACGGCATGTGTTTTCCTACTAGGCTCAACTTGGAGAAGTATGCTCCACCCTGTGGTGATCATTGTGTTGATTCGCTATCACGACAAGTGTGAATGTAGTTTTTGTGTGTTTTTTTATTCAGTCATATAAACGAAAAAAACTAAACAACAAGGTTGGAATTTGTCCTTGTTAGACGGGAGTTGCTGGTGTTATCCTGCTTCGTTTCAAGTCTGATTGCTGAAAGAGAGTTTTCTAGGAAGCGAATGTCACGAGTGGTATTGTGTCATTAATTGTTGGCGTGATGAACAATGGGTAGTTCAGGCAGCACAATGTCAAGATTATTTACAACACAATAGTCCCATTTTAAAAAAGGGTTATACATGGCTTGCAGCGATATCAAGACTTGTCATAACGACAGTACGACAATTCATGGTAGTGCAAAACCCACATATATTTTATGATGGCGATCACGATTACGTTTTGTCATTGATTTTTGTACATAGTATGTAAGTACTATTTGACTTTGGTCTTTATAGTATGAGGTTTGAATGCCTAATAATATTGCTATCTTAGTTGATTTGAAGTAGTAAGGAGGTTTAAAATATTCAGGGATAATTCAATTGGTACAAGTATTTGAGCTGTAAGTTATTTTCTAGGTTATCTTTTTTACGTGAAGTAGCAAGGATCTGTGGCATCTCTGTTCGTGTTGTTTTAATTGATGTGCATTTCTGTGTTGTTGTTGTAGTGTCATACTATATGGAGCTTTTCCTGACTTTGAGATGGCTAATTGTTGTAGTCTTTTACTTGTCTACCCCCTGACTGTATCACTGCAGCAAGTTATGCTACACCAAAATGACAATTACAAATGTGTTAAATGTATGAATGTGTTTAACCGATGAGGTTAATCATCAATGTTTTCCTCAAATAGGCTCTGATAAAGCCACTGTGGCGCTACCCTAGCTCAACACCCAACAGCTGATGGACACAGAGAGTAGAGAAGTAACTAAGATGTAGGAGCTAAAGCACTTCAACAGAGCTAAAAGAGGGAACAGACAGATAGACAGAGGGTAAGGAAGTCAACAGCTTGCAACTTTAAAAGACAAAGGATGTTTGATTTGACACAAAGTGAAAAACGACAGAATGATCTAATGGGCAGATTAAACGTTGTATGCTCTATTTCGTCAGCGAGTTCTTTTATATTTCTTGTTGAGAGGCGATTTAAGGGGTGGTCTAAAGTATGATATAAATGTGTATTATGAGAAGAGAAACGAGCACTGGGGGTAGTCGCTTACCTGCGGTGTATAATCAGAAACATGTGTTTTTATGTAATATTCCTGCTTTGCTCTTGGTTAGTTGCTGTGACAGATTGATTATATTTTGGTATTTGTTCAGAGTTTGGCAGACAGTCTCTATTCTAATTGGTGTTTTGTGTCATATACTCTTCCCTGAATTGATCAGCTTTTATGGAGTCTGTTGTTAACGATCACTGCGCAGTGATCACTGTGGATAACACTTGAGGACATTCTCATTGAGTCAAGATCAAGTGAATCTGAGGTTGGAATCTTTCACTGAAAGTTGTGATATGGGGGCTGTTGCCGTACGATCGAGAAGAATGCACACATATATAGTTTTTTTTATTTTTTTGTTTGTGGAGATGTATAGTTAAAGGGGTGGTAATGGTCAATTTCATTTTTATTTGGGGTGGTGGGGTTTTTTATTAAAAAGAGAAAGCCAAATAGCGGTTGTTAGAAAAGTGAACTGACTCTCATTTTTGGCCGGAGGCAACGACATCTTGCGACAGCGCCATAAGTTGAAAGAGAAGCAGAATAATTAAAAAGCTGCAGTTCCTGGGTAGATTGGGTACTGATATTAGTTGTTTTTATCTATTTGGAAGTATTATGCTTGCCAGTTGCGAGGTGACATGTTCGAACAGATCATACAGGAATGATGAACTTAGTTTGAAGAAGAGCCGCTCTTGTCGAAGCAACAGGAACTGAGTCTGAAAGAGAAAAGAGCATCTGGGGTGCTGCTACTAGCACAGGGTCTCGCTCCGCCTGTGGTCACACGTTGTTGATGATGGTTAGGAAAAAGTCATTTTTGAAGTTATAGTGTTAGTTAAGGGACTCTTACTTGAAGTCTCCCCTGAAGGAACTCTCTTCCTCTTCGTCTAATGTGAATCTCTCCAATACCAAGTCTCAGATTATTATGAACACAAAGAAGGTGGAGCTGAAGTTTCAAGGTGTGGGCCATGGCGCCTCCTCCTATAAAGGATGTTAGTTCAGACCGTCTTCACCACTGCAGCTTACTCCTCCCCCCCCCCCCCCCAACACTCAGAGCAAAGAAGAAGGAAGAAAGAAGCTTTGGGGCGTCCATCCAGACATCTCTCCGACAGACAGGTAAAAGAACAAGGGAGAAAACACTTTTACTTTACCTTGAGTACCTCTAGCTTATGCTACTTTATACTGCTAGTCCACTACATTTAGAAGCAATTTGTACTTTTTACTACATTTATTGACAAGCTCGTTGTTGGTTACTTCGAAAACATATTTTGAAAGAGAGATATTGTAGAAATAAATTAAATTCAATGTCACAGTTATTTATTGCAGCCTGATTTACAATGTGACGTCAAGGCAGCAAAATTATGTTTCTTTAAATTAATGGTATTAAAAACACAATAAATCACAATTTAGGGCAGGGGTGAGGAAACCTTTTCCTCCTCAAGGGCCATTTCAATTTTACAACTCCTTCGAGGGCCGTACAAATATTGAACTCAAACGTTTGCTTAAAAAACTAAAATCACAGCCCATTCATTGTGCAAATGTATTTAGTTTCATATCCATGTGGACATGATTTAAGTGGGGCGGATCTAACCTCATCTAGGGGGGTTTGGGGGCATGCACCACCAGGAAGATTTTTTTTAAATGTTGAAGTTAAAAGCATCAATCTGGTGCACTTTGAGAGCAACATGAAGAGATCTATGGATACTGTACATCTCTCAACACCCATATGAAACAGAACTGTAAGCGGATTTGTTTCTTTATGGATATTTTACAAATCACTTCCCTTTTAAACTGTATTCTTGTTTATTAATAACAACTTTTTTTTACTGTCATATTAGTATTGTATACTTCTTTACTTTATTCTCTTATTTTTCTATAACTATAATGATCATATAAAGATGTGCCTTTACCTCACTGGTTGGAGAAAAAGCTTCTTATATTCGTTAGCATAGCTAGCTAACCAGATGCTAATAACAACAACGTTATTGACTGTATGATCCGTATGAAAGATGAACAGATCGCCACTGGGCTTTCAACTAAAGACACAGCCACGCAAAAACTGCGGCATGTGTACAGCTCCTTATGGGTATTGCAATTTGTGAAGTCCCGGCCCGGAGCCGCGTTCTGGTGCTCTCCGTTAGAACTACACTCCTGTCAGACGAGACATATACCACGTGATGACACGTTAGGCTCGTGTTGTGTTCAAGGACCCTGACCTTGGCCAGGAAAAACTAGCTTGTTTAATTATTTTGCGGTCTAGATTTCTTGAATTTTTTTCTTTTTTGCGTGTGTTTATAAATTACCTCGAGGGCCGTACCAAATGGTCTCGCGGGCCGTATACGGCCCGGAGGCCGGAGGTTCCCCACCCCTGCCTTAAAGAGTCGCATGGTTATTTTTTTACACAGGTTTGATTAATCCTGAACTTTAACATTAAAGCTGCACTAATCAATGTTTTAGTTTTATCCTCACATCAAAGTAGAACCAATACGTTTTAGTGTCTATCAGCTAGTTGTTTTGATTTTAAGCGAGTTAGAATGTGCATGAAAAAGAAAATCTCATGTTGTTTTCCTACATGTGTGAAGGGGAACATTTGGAAAATGTCGGTACCAGATTCTCTGTACTGCCAACAAAGATACAACGTTATACTTGGAGGTACTGTATGGAAATGGTGCTTAATTAATGCTAATGTTACCCTGTGTCTATTGCTTGTCTAAATAAGCCCCTGTTACACATTCAGCGTTATAACGTTATAAGGTGATAATGCCAGGGTTTCACCCTTTATCACCTTACAAAGCAGTTACTGAGAAGGTGCCAACAAATGTTATGAATGCAGGTTTCAACATACACAGAGATTTTCAGTGTCTTTTTACATTGTACACTAAGTGGAGGCTCGCTGATGTGTGTTTATCCACTTAGTAAGCCAAAATACAACCAAATGCTCAACTTTTTTCCTCTTTCCTTTGTGTAATGGAACCTCATAAACCTGTCACTGAATCAAAGCAGATCGGACGGATGAATTTGATCTTTGGTTAGAAAAAAAGTTCTGTTTTCCTCTCCTACTGCGAGGCGGCAGTTAGCTGGAGCCAGGAAGAGCTGCTGGAAGCTGCAATATTGATTGCATCATCATTTGATAATGCTTTTTGTTGGATGTGCTCAGCCGGACATATCCTTTTTTCCTCTCCTTCCCGTTGTGACCTGGCCCATGTCACTGATCCTGAGAGGTTCTTGGCTCATGATGTGAAAGGGTTACTGGATTTAACCGTTCGTCATAACTTTTTTTTCCACCTCTTCGATCTTTAAACCATTTTGCTGCCACTATATCTTCTCACATTGATCCTTTTGAGCGTCGGCCTTGTCTTGACTGTCTTCACTCCCCCTCTTATTTCCTCACTGCTATGAGCATCATGCCCCCCTATCTCCTATGATGGAGGCGTATGGTTTCCATCACATGTAATAAAAGAGATGGAGCCTGAATCAGGCCACACATGGAGCTGGGATGGTGTCAGTTTCCTGCAAGGGCCCCAGAGCCATCCCATGAACTCAGAACCCTTCGGCCCTAATTTTGTACTTCCTCTCATTGCGTCATTGGCAGGTACGGCCTCCAAGTGAGCGCAGTGGGCATGCTGTAGAACCAAGTTTATTCTCCAAGCTGTTAAACAGTCAGCTATTAGGCGAGGTTACCATAAAGCCAGGACCTCCGCTGCGAGGGAGCTTTGTGCATTGGCTGTGTTTGAGGAAAATCCAACCAAAAGAATGACTAAAAGAGCTGTTATGAATTTTTTTTTAATATTACATTTCCTTTGCCGGCAAGCTTTCTTCTTTTTGGCTACAAAGTTGAACACAGCACGATAAAATGGCATTGAGAAATTACAGATGCAGATTTGACCAAGACAGGTTCAGGGCCAATAGGTACACCATGGAGGCTAGGAGTTTGAGAAGAGCCAAAGGGGGGCTAATTATTTAAAGTTGTGTCTTAATGTCACTGATTTGTGTCCAAAACACACACACACACACACACACACACACACACACACACACACACACACACACACACACACACACACACACACACACTTGTGCACAGCGTCACAGCACATGACACACGCACACACACACACACACTTGTGGGTAATGCACAGCGTCACAGCACATGATTCAGTGCAGGCCACCTCACCAATGCCATTGAGAAAAGCTGAGCGCTGTACAGTATGACTCATTCATTGAGCCTCATCTCCCTCCTGACTGGTGAAACATCTTGGCTTTAAGATTACAAGTGTTCAGAGATCTTGTAAAACTCAAAACTTATTCTGTTGAGTAATGAAACACAGATGGCATGAGAGAGTGACTGCATTTTTTGAGAAACACAAGTGAAAACAAGCAACATATTTTGACATTCAGTGCAAATAAAAACATAATTTCACATTCATCACAGAAACTCTTGACAGTCTGCTATCCTGATGTGGAGAAATGAATTATCTGCATTAGTATTGATTCAGCAACTTGTATGTCATTATAGCCTATTTTAAAAAATAATCTGGGGACATGTTTTTTGTTTCCCAGATGACAAAGGTTGCATAATGAGAAAGATTGAGATGGTGGACAAATGTAGACTTTCTAACTTTGTGTCATATAGAAAAATGACTTACTTTAAAACGTAGTTGATGTCCCGTCAATAGTGGTGTCATGATCAAAAGGCGCTTGTTTCATTTAGAAGGGCATGGAGATTTTTGTTGACTGATTTGTAGTGTTTGAAAAGTTTACCTCTTCTTCTTTATGTTCTTTAAAGAATCTTTTATATTTTTGCTTGTATCCCTTTAAAACAAATACATTGAATTAGTTGTAAAGAGTATTAATCCCGTTCTGATATAGGCTTTGACTAATAGCTCAGAAAGGACTTCTACCATTGCTATTGTCCTGTAAATCGCCTCTTTGTCTAAGTGGCACAGTTATAGTTCAGTGATTGCCCTCTTGGAGNATTTGAAACACAAACCATAAACATACAGCACCTTCTCATAGATGTCACATACACATCTATCTAAATGTGTCAACCGTTTAGTCTTAATCGTATTGCTTCAGATATGAAGCAATACGATTAAGACTAAACGGTTGACACATTTAGATAGATGTGTATGTGACATCTATGAGAAGGTGCTGTATGTTTATGGTTTGTGTTTCAAATGCATTTGCCTAAAAAATGTTTTATACAGAGCTGAACAACATGATTTCAATTTGAACCATCATTAAAGCCACTTTCCGGAATCTCTTGTATCAATCAAAACAGATCCATCAAAAAGTTTATTTTACATTATGTGTTTTTCTTTCGTTTCTTCAGGTGGCTGGTTTTGGCGATTGCAATGATGCGCTTCTACATCCAGAAAGGCACAACCAAGGGTCTGTACAGAAGTATAGCAAGAACCCTCAAGTTTTTCCAGACCGTTGCACTAGTTGAGGTAAGAATTTGAGAGCAATAGCTGCCCAGTTGTAGCATGAACTGATTAAATACTGTCTTAGAGTTAGAGAAATGACAACGCTTTTAAAAAAGATGATAGAGATGAATTGATTATTATGTATCTTGTCTTACAGGTGGGACATTGTGCTATTGGTATGTGAGGATTTTGTTTATGTCTTATTGGTTTAAAAACTACTTACTGACAACTACTGCAGCTTTAAACTGTTGTTTTTATGTGTCTTTTTTTGCTGCAGGAATTGTGAGGACTTCTGTAATTGTGACCGGGGTGCAAGTGTGTTCACGAATATTCATGGTTTGGTTCGTCACCAACAGCATCAGACAGGTGAATATCACGCCACAACACAGGAACATCACACAACACATCTGAAAACTGCAAGAGCTGTGTTTTATTGTACTATTATGTGTTTTGTATTTACCATAATTGCTAATTTGCACGTTATTTTAAGTTACTCTCTCCTTCCTGTGTATATTTGACGTGTTTTTCCTGACGTAAATGAAGATCCAGAGTGAAGAAAGCGTAATTCTATTCCTGGTTGTGTGGACGATGACAGAGATTACCAGATATTCCTACTACACATTCAACCTGCTCCACCACCTGCCGTACTTCATCAAATGGGCCAGGTGGAGATACCATTAGCTGGCTGTCGGGATGAGCTTGAATTGTCATTACTGTGTCAGACATTGTTGTCTAAGCATGTCTAAGCACTGATCTAGAGATTTCACCTCGCTTTACATCAGGAAGTAGTGCTGCCGTGTGTGTGTGTATTAGGTATCGCCTGTGTGTTTATTGATTAGCACCTAATTAGGTAACTGAACTAACTGCTAACAATTGTGCTCTGACAATCAAGGATACAGAAGAGGGTTTATTTTACAAAACATATTTGAAAATAGAATACAAATAGATAATGGCATACATTTCTTATGTAAAAAAAACGTGATTTCTTACGAGAATAGTAATCCAAAAGGTGTAAATCAAAGCCTTAATTATCTGCATGGAAAACACACAACTGGTTGTCAGTATAATGCGGTGACGACCGACACATTTCTCAGCTCTAGAGTGACATAATGCCTGTCTACTACTGTATGAAGAGCACTTGTGACGTGGCAGTCTCCCTGCTACAGTAGCTCAGCTGAAATTGGAGACGCTGGCAGGAACGTCAGCTGTACACATTGATAGATGTCCAACACACGGGCTTGGCATCTTACAGCCGAGAGAGAGGCTGTCTCACTTCATGATAGTGACGTTTACATATCACATCAACTCAAGTCCAAGGTGGGACATCTTGTCTCTGCAGTTTGAAGGTTAAACCCAAACTACGTTTTTTGTCTGCTAGTTCAGCTCGTCATGTGATCCGTCTTGAGCCAGTTACTCTTTTGTTTATCGGTTTGAAACCTTGTGTACTTAATGCAACTCTCTTCCCTGCCCCCCCACCCTTCACGGCTTTCTTTAAGCACGGAGGAGACGCCAGGCCCCGGGAGGGGGGCTCATGTTCAGCTGCTCATGTTTTTAAGACCATCTGTTTTGGTCATGGAATGTTCACCCAACATTTCTCTCACATCCGCCGAGACGCTCCCCCGAGCCTTTGCTGTGGTCCCTACTAAATACAGGACCTCTGTAGCCCTGAGTCATGGCATATATCCTACTACAGAGGCCCTGTGCTGTCACAAAGAGAGGCTGGCTATGTCACACTTATGCCAAGTGACAGGAAGTAATAGCGGCAAACCAACAAGATGACAGATTGTGAATAGCTTTATGAAGAGCAGCTTTATTCAGTATCTTAGATGATTTTATGACGAATTTGGGAACATGTTTTGTCTTAGTATTCCAAGATTTGTTAAACAATCTTCCTGCCAAATAACTGATTTGATTTTTTTTATCACGCAATCGTCCGTATGGCCAAGTAATGAAAAACATACCTCTTAACTTTGTAATCAATCACTTAGTGACAGTTTTCAGACAGCATCTGCAACCTGATCCTGCGGCTTTGCCCACTTCAAAATCTGCCAAATCACATCCCTTTTCACAGAGGAGACCCAGCAACATGTCTAGGTTTGAGTCAGCGCCCATTATCAGTGCTCAATTTGCTCCAATACTTAATATTGCATTTAAAAAAACAGCAGGCAATTAAAAAGTAGAAATAGCCGAGTTGGTTCCCTCAACTCAGAACAATTTATTATGAGCAAACATGGACGTGATTTTGTTCTTTCTTGAATTATCATTTGCTGTATGGCTGCCAACAAACAATGGAACAATGTGTAGATTTATTTGGATTCTTTGGCAGAAATTGAATATTGGTTTGATTGATTGTAATCTGCAAACTCACAGCCAGAGGCCACTAAATCTACTTGTGGGAGTTGTGGGAGTTTTCCAAAAACCCACCAGTGCATTGCATCAGCTTCAAGAAAAGCACAAACTAAAGAAATACAACGTGACCCAATTTAGTTGTGTTTGATTACCTGTCAAAAGCAAGTTTATGATACAAGAGACAACACATGACAATTATTGTTGCTTATGCTAACTGTGCATGTGTAAAATTAAAAAGAAGATTCTATGGAGCATGCATTGACTGTTGAACTCATTTTTAAAGGTTGCATTTGTTAAAATCTAAGTGTAAATTGTGTGTGTAGAAACCTAGGCATGTGAGTGCTTTAACATCCGTAAACTGTGTGTGTTTGTTGCATTTGTGTAACTGTTTACATCCTTTCCTTCCCAGGTACAACCTCTTCTTCGTGCTGTACCCCCTGGGGGTCATCGGGGAACTGATGACCATTTATGCTGCCCTGCCGTTTGTACGCAGATCTGGAATGTACTCCATGAGGCTCCCCAACAAGTATAACGTGTCCTTTGACTACTACTACTGCCTCATCATCGTCATGCTGTCCTACATCCCACGTAAGGAGACTTTCTATTTCCATGTTATGAGAATATGTAAAAAAAAAGGAGGATGACCCCAGATAGATGACCTCTCAGTGAGGATTTAACCGTTCATTTTTCTCCACATGAGACTTAAGATAAACAGCATTTCAAATGGTCTGAAAGAATAATTTCGAGTTTTATTTTTTATGCCGAGAGTAAGATGAAAAGATCAATTCCTCTATCATGTCTCCATCTTAAGTATGTTGCTGGAGCCATGAGACAGTTAGCTTAGCTTAGCATAAAGACTCGAAACATGGGAAACAGCTAGCCTGGGTCTGTCAAATGGTTACACTAGGACCTCTAAAGCTCACTTATTAAGATGTCCTCTGTTTGTTTAAAAACTGGAAGTTGCAGGGAATTTCTTGGGTCACATTTGCCGTCTGACCTATGACAAGAATCCAGGAAGTCACTACTGGGCTAACTTTTTTCTGGCTATAGTTTTATTTTAATTCAGCCTACTAACTTTTCGAAAGAGAACAAATAAGCACATCACCTAAAACTGACCGGCAGCCATCTTTGTTTTACATTTTGTATTGATGCAATGATGTTAATATAGCATATTTGTGCCAGGTAAACAGTAATACATTCAATCAAGGACAACACCAATGCAAGACATATAACTTTTTCAAAGTTGATAATGAACAAGTTTTCGAAACGCATACATTTTGCAGATCAAATATACAATATTCTGTTTCTCATGACTTTTATAAAGGTTTCTTGCTCTCCTGCTTTTTTATTTAAAATTCGGATGTATGTAGTGAGCTTTGAGACAGCTGACTACTTTTGCCTATAGCATAAAGAACAGTTAACAGAACATTTTCATTGTCCCCACAGTGTTCCCTCAGCTCTTCTTCCACATGCTGCGGCAGAGGAGAAGGGTGCTTCACGGGGAGGTCATTGTGGAGAAAGATGACTAGAAAAGCCACCACCTCACGCCTTCGTTTGAGCCAGCCTGCCTCCACCATCACCCCTCACCTAACCCACTTCAACTTTAGCCCCATCGGATGTTACATTCTCCACCGCACGGGACCGGAAGAGCCGCACGGACGACGAATAAAGGAGTTCACCAGTAGTGAGCAACAATAACTGATCCTAAGTCTTTACAGGATTAATTCCTATCTGAATGGTAATATTGGAAACATGCTTACAGTCCCAGTATTTGCTGGAGCTTGAGACTCCTTGACTGCACCTTGTTGCACTGAAACACGAGTCACAACATCTCCCGAAGGAGAAAAAGGGAAAAGAGAGGCTTCCAGAGAAATGTGAAATGAAACATGTGAGGAAGATTGTAAGTTGTGTCTCCTGAGTTGTCAACCCCAAAAGCAACCCAATTGGCTGTTCCATTCTTTTTTTAAGTGTATTCCACTACCGAGATTTTGTACAAAGCAAAGATAAAAAAAGAGGAAATAGTTCTATCATACCTCAACAATAAATCTACATTTAGACAATATGCTGCTTCTTTGTGAATGTTTGTAAATGATACAATGTGAAATGAGTGCTTAATAGTAAACATATTTCTTAAATTATTCGCATACTGTATCACTGAGAGCAAGCACAGCTCAAACTTAACAATTTGTCAGCTTGGCTCCTGCATTCTCCTGTGTTGCTTTGATGTTTACTATGTCAAATTCATTTACAAGAGTGCATCCTCAACAAATTTGAAGTCTTCAAAAAGTAGTTTTCAATAGACAGCTGTAGGTGAGAGTACAATTCAGATTTTTGTAAGCACTTTCAGTCTTCAGTCGCTGTTGTGTTTGTTTTTTAACATAAGGAATCCAATGTCCGTGTTGATAAAGGTAGTTAGTTCCCTCCTATTTAAGGTGCTATTGTAACATCATTTCAATCTTCTGTGCAGCTTAAGGAGTGACTGTGATTGGAGTTGACCTAAAGCAGGAAAACAGGATGTGAAATGATTGAGAGGAAATGTTGCATAGCCCAAGGTTATCTACGAAAATCGACTTTTCTGCTTATAATCTGGGTTAGGGAGGAGAGAAACAATAAAAGTCAATCACTGGGAAAGTTATTTTTCAAACAATATAAATGTGAGAATACCTTCTTTTGTGCAAAATGAATAAACAAAGTTCTACAATACTGTGGAGAGTTTTGTGATGACCGTCACACTTATGCAGACAGATAAGCCATCTGACACCAGATCAGTTTACCTGGATCTGCATAAAAATGTAGAAAAAAAAGCCAACAAATACAAACACCTTGTGGGTTTTTACATATTTATTTGAGTGTTTCCTTCATTGTTCATAGTGTTGTTAAACTCAAGAGTGCATAAAATGGCACATTTTATATTTGTAGGTAGGATCCACAGATTCATATTCATTAGCCTATGTACGTCTGCAATAGTGAAAAATAAATCTCATAACCACAAAATACTGTATCAGATTAAACTGTAAATGTGCAGTCTTGAACTAAAACAAGCTGATTTTGACATATTTCTGTATTAATGTGTAAATGCTTACTTCGACTCTACTCGTATAAATGAAAATGCTATATAGACATTCATGAAGGGAGATAAACGGTTCCTCAAAGATAGCATATCAGCAACATTTCATGTTTTTAGCGCATCATTTTGCACCTTTTCATTTCGAGACTATTACAGTACATGTTATGAAAAGCACTACGATAAGTCCACTTGGCTTCATAGAATGAATAACTTCCTACAAAACTTGCATAATGAAATATACATTCAGATATTCACGTAGAATACAGTTTTATAAAATGTATTTAAAATAACCATAAAAATATTTATATATATAAATCAGTTGGTGATTTGGTACTTTAAAAAATAAAAGTCCTCCTTCTGTGATTGCCCTGCTGTATTGCACTTGCTGGTAATGTTGGACTGTGTTCACTTTGGAGGAGAAAGGCATCTCTTCCCCATGAAAGAGAAGTTCTCTACTGCAGCGCTGGGCTTATTTCAAAATTGTCCCTTTTCTCTCTCCGTACGGACTCTCCATGTGCTGTGCTGGTGGACCAGTGCCACATGGGGGAAGTCTAGCTTCTCACTGCAAGCTCCCTTCCAAGAAATCGCTACGATTCAGGCAAACTCGCTGCAAAAAAAGATCAAGACAAGATATTAGGACAGCTCGACTTTTGGACATTTGGAAAGGAAAAGAAGAGAAGAACCGACGTACTGGTGTCCATTTCCTTCTCACAGATGTAGCTTATGAGATCTTCACAGAAGAAATCATTCCACAGCCCTTCATGGATGAGCCCTGCGCAGTCTTCTCCCATTTCATGCCCGTGGCCCCAGTCATCAGGCTGACCGGGCTTCCACCTCCTGCAGGCAAACAAGAGGGGGCGATCAAACATTAGACACACAGGGTTTTTTCTAAGAGAATGGTGGGAAACTACAGCGGTGAGAGAGAGACAAACTGCAGCAGGAATTGAATTTGTTTGAGGTTAATGAAGCTTCTATCCAAAGGTGCATATGTTTTTATGTTATGTCCTTTTGTTGTTCTTGTCCTTTTGTTGTTCTATTTATGTTTTTATGTTTCATGTGGAACTACTTGAGCAGGTCTCCCTTGAAAAAGAGATCAATGATCTCAATGGGATTGAGATTCATCTGTATAAATAAAGGTTTGAAATGAAAATATAGTGCTGGTTTGATACATTCCATAATGGTGTCGATATCCTTTTTTTGCAGTTGCAGAGAATGTTTTTCCTTTCGTTGCAAGAGAGTGAACTTATCTGATCTGACCACCCTGACAAATAAAAGTTTATTGAATGTGAGAGTATTTGTTTTGTTTAACTGGGCAAAAGGAATATAGCAGTGGAGCTTTGCATTTCAAAGCAATCAAAAAACATCAGAAAGTTCAGACGTTGCATGTTTTTATAGTTGTTTCATGTAAGTGAAAACCTACGGCTTGATATTATTATTGGAAAGCAGCTCTGAAACAAAATACCCATCTGAGGAACAACACCTAATTAACCTGTTAAGCCCTGAGCCTGTTTTCCAGGTCTCAGGCTCGAAAATGACATTCCTAGAACAAATGACTATAACTCCACTTATAAAATGGGTACATTAATAATGTTTTTTCTCAAAGCAATGATAAACCTGTGAGTTGGATGTAGAAAAATCAGAATCAATATAGATTTTTTTTGTTTGAAAGTAAATTGAGGTTGAACATAGTAAAAAAACGTATATTATAGTGTCCGTCCAAAAAAATATATTACTTATAGTGAAAACCACTCTTGAATGATGGGATAGTAGACTAAAAGCTTTAGGAATCCACCCTATAACATATAATAAGTACCCTGTATCAAGATTGATGCAAAACATGTGACATTTTACCTTTTTAGACAGATTTAGAAAAAAACAAACACTTCTGGGGTCATTTGGGTGGGGGCTATGGGGCTTAACACAGGATAAAAGGTTCCCTATGGTGGTATTTCCTGATTTCATACTGACGTGAAAGCAGGTTCAGTCCCGTCCAGCCAGCGCCAAGCGGTCTCCTCCTCCCTGTCCGTCAGACCCATCCAGAAGTAGCCTTTTCCAAAGGTCTGCTTCTTCAGCCATCTCTGAGATCACATGAGGACATGAAGACTGAGATATAACCTCACATATTACAGAACAAGGACAACTTTTGATTCCAGTGCATAATGATTTTAGCTGATTTCATTCTTAAAGTGCTAAAGAGAGAATCATGATTAATCACCTGTTCCTCCACATCGTTGATGATCAACAATGAAGCAGAGGATGATTCACAGGTCGCCTTTGCATCGTCGAAACTGTGCAGGTCTTTGGAGAAGAAGTAGCACTTGCCTCTGTAGTGTGCCCACTCAGAAGGGCATCCTGTAAAACATTAAGTCACAAACAACCATATTATTATCAACAAGGTTAGATCAAATTGGTATACCTCCAACATTTTGATTATGAAATAGTTGAGATGTTGGGAAATTAAAGGAAACATTGAAGCTTATAAGATGTAAAGTTTTACCTGGGGCCCAAAGAGTAGGAGCTACTGCCTCATCCTGCAGAGACACAGGGCCCATAGGAATTGATGGAGCCCGGATTGGGACCCCTTGTTGTCCCGGTTGTCCTGGGGGTCCCGGAGACCCTGGAGGCCCCACTGGCCCAAGCAGTCCCCTTGGACCCGGCTCACCAGCTGACCCCATTGCCCCTCTGATACCCGGGGGGCCCTGTGCCCCCTGAGGACCAGGCTGTCCGTCTCTTCCAGGCAGACCGTTAGCACCTGGCTCTCCTTTAGTCCCAGGAGGTCCGGCCCTGCCTCCTGACCCTCGGGAGCCCTTGGACCCGGGGTTGCCGGGTACGCCTGGCATGCCTTTTAACCCTGGTAGACCTGATGATCCTGGGATACCCTGCTCTCCTCTTGTTCCTCGTATCCCCGGACCACCCTTTTCACCTTTTTCTCCCTTCTGGCCAGGCTGACCAGCTGATCCCTGGGGTCCTTTGTCCCCTCTCGAACCTCTGGGTCCAGGAGGGCCTGAAAATAAAAATTCACGATTTAAAATGTTTTCCAAAAAAGAAAGGGAGTGTCACATTTTGCAATGAGCGCTTACTTATTTGTTGCTAGGATTTAGATTAATACTATGGCTGCAGCTTATTTTACATACTCTTAACACATTGGATTTAGTCCAGATTAAACCAAATCATATACCAACTTAATGAATGAATTTTGCCAGAAATGCTAGTAGCTGGATCTTATTACATATAGACATAGCCATGCTAGCTGTTTTCCCATTTCCAGTGATTGCTATAATCTAAGATAACCAGCTGCTGCCTGTAGCTTTATTTTTTATTGTAAAACATTAGAGTGAATTTAATTTTCCTCATCAAATTCCTTGAAAGAATGCGAATAAGCTCCCAAAATATCAAGTTCTTTAACTTTCAACACCTTCCTTACCCTTTAAAATTGTGAAGTTGGTTATTAGCTGTGAGTGCTTGTTGTCAACCAGCTTCATCTCCTCCATGACAATAGAGAGGTTGGTGACCTCCTTGTCCATACGCGCTCCCAGCTCTTCCTGCTGAGACCTCAGACTGGACGCATCTATCCTCACGTCCGTCACGCTGTTGTTGAGGTTCACCAAGAAGTCCGAGTGGCGGCCGACGGTCTCGGAACAAGTGCGCAGGTCATTCAGGTTGAGGTTGATGGCGCCCAGGAGCTGCGTGGTGAAGCTGATGTTGCCGGTCACACGGTCCATACTCTGCTCGGACTCATCCAGCCGCACTTCCAGCCGGTCAAACTTGGTGGATGTAAAGTTACTGAAGTCCCTCTGCCGGTCCAACACCTCCCTGAGGGTCTGGTCGTGGGCATCAGCCAGGCTGCTGGTGTTCTGGATCTGGTTGGCCACCGAAGCCAGCTGTGATCCCACCTCCTCCAGGCTGTCGTTGTTGGCTTTTGCAAGAGTTGAGGTGTTGCTGGCCATGACCTGGAGGTTTTCCACCTTACCACGGAGCCACTCAGTGTCCGAACGCGTCTGTCTGGCCGTTTGCTCCAGGCTCTGAAAGTCATTACGCATTTTCTGTATGGCCTGGGTAGTGTCTTCCACTGAGCGTTGCAGTACAGCGATGAGGTCTCTCTGCTGGGCCTGGGTGAAGTTGAGGCCGATGATGCTGAGCAGGGCCTGGTCCTGAAGTTTCACCTGCTGCTGGAGTTCTCTCTGAAGTCGCGTGGTGTCGTCGTGCAGGCCTCCAATGGCGCCGCCGTGAGACTGCAGCGTGCCATTTACAGAGTGCAAGGTGGCTGTGTTTCTATCCAGCGATCCCTGAATGGAGCCCTGGCTGTTTTGGATGTCTGAGCCAATGTTCTGCAGCTGACTCAGCTTAACTTGATCACTGTGGATGCGTTCCTCCACCGCAGACAGCTGCCTCTGGAGAGACCAGATGTTGTTCTTGAAAGCCTGGATCTCTGTGGTGGTATTCTCCGACTTCGCCCCTGCTTGATCATCTGACGAGGGAGATGAGTGCCAGAAGTTACAAAGACTGTTCAGCTTCTCGCTTACTGCAGCTTAACCGCAGATACATGGAACTTACCTAGCTTTTTCAAATCAGTCTCGACAGCAATTATCTTTCCTCCATAGTTAGCGATACCTTCGGACACAGTGTCAACTCTTTGCACCACTGGAAGGAAAACAGAACAGGTAGGACAAAGGTTAGTGTCAGGCTCATCACAGGCTCCATCTTTATTAGCAGACAAGAAATGCCCGCAACCACAGACATCCTATATAAAAGGGATCAGAGAGGAAACCACTGAAAGATACTGAGAGATGTCTTGTAGGCATGCAATAACGCTGCACTCGATTAATGTAATCTCATGGGTTATGCCAGATTTAGAGTGTGACAGGAGGTGGGCAGGCGTAGTAAAAGGGGAATATGGAGTTCATTGTAATTTCGGGTGATGGACAGAAAAGGTAGGCACTGTGAAAGAGACAGGAGGAGGGAAAAGGAAACATTCATTCAGCAAAGATGGAGTGGGTGGTCAATGACAGACTCCGAAGCTGGAGGTTGCATGGGGAGACACTGGCGAGGGCCCTATGGGACAGGAAGTGACCTAGTGGGGGTCTTCAGTAAACAGGCGGATCAAAGACAGCCCAGAGGAGACAGACGCTGTGGCAGAGAGGCTCTTCACGCCCCCACAGGCGACACCAGTGTTCATTTCCTCTGGAATGTGTCTGGGATTCCGGGGAATAAGCCCAATTCTACCACCAGCCTGGCCAGGGGGACACATCCTTTAACTGGGGACGGCATGGGCTCCTCCGTTGGGAAGCAGCATCCCCGTCCCCAGACAACAGTTCAGTCATGGGGCTTTCAGATCATAACATGAGCCTGTTCAAATCCATCCATCCCTCTAAATAAGGACACAGGTTGATAATTTTGTCCATGGCCCGATAAGCAGTAATAATGTCTTTAATCTTGTGGCATAACAGTAAGTCATCATATCCCATGTGTGTTGAACCTTAAGCACTAAGTTACACATATTGTGGAATACATGTATGTTATGTGTTTTCTTGCCGAGTCAGATTAAAAGATATATCACTAATCACTAATCACTAATATCACTCATGTTTGTCTGCTAAGCATGAAGCTAACTCCAGCTAGCTTAGCTTAGCAAAAAGACTGAAAGCTGCTAGCCTGGTTGTGTAAAAAGGTAACAAAGTCCATCAACAAGCACATGTCAATGATGTTTGTTTAGGTGAAAGTCAAATCAGTTAAAAAACAATACTGGTCTTGCAGTGATGGTAGCCATATTGTGTTTTGTCTTTTAGCTCTCTCTAGTGTTATCATACTCATATGACTGTGGTATTGACCTTGAATAACTAGAAAGCAAATAAGTGTAATTTTCTAAATGTCAAACAATTCCTTAAAATACAAGACTTCAAGTAAATGTTATTATTGTTATGAAAAAGTGCTTCCTGAGTAAATAGACACTGAGATGTTTGGGAAACTTCAAATTGGAAAGTGAATGTTTAACTAAAATGGTCAAGGCTGTTTTTTGTCTTTCGTCTTCAACCTTTTAGACATCTTAGAAACAGACCTACAGTTGCCTCATGGAACATATAAACATATTTAAAACCATATAGACCTTTAAAAACATCCTCGTATTTCAAAATAAGTGGTCAAAATGGTCTGTTGGACGGGAAATGTTCCACACATCAGGCTAAATGGGACACGTTTCCAGACACAGAACGTACAGTTCAGCATTACAGAGCACAAAAGACACTTTTGAGTGCACTTCCACAGGCAGATACACTACACCTACAGTATGGCACATTGTTTCATCATACTATGACAAAATTAACCATAAAATACACATGCAAAGAAGTTATAAATGCAACAGGGCTTCAGAGGAAAGCAATATTTTGAAAGAAACCCAAGAGGTCTTAAAACTGTCCGGGTAGCCTTGTAAAAGTCAGCTTCCTTATACATTTAAAGTCAGAAATAGTAAAAATTATTGTAATGGTCACTCTTAATTAATCAATTAATTATTTAAGGGCAGCAGCTGAGGAGTGCTATAAAGAAGCTACTTGTGGTGATTGGAGCTGCTGAATAAAAGGTAATAAAAAAGCCGGTACTGTAGTATATTTGTCTTAGTATATGGGGTAACCCTAGGGACACGTTGCATTTGTCCAGAAAGACGGATTAAAGAGATATTCAATGAGGGATTACATTGAAAAAGTGTCACAGCAGCTAGCCTGGAGGTGAAGTCAAAACGTACATAGGCGACCTTTAAGAGCGTGAATGTAATGGGACTACATACAGGGAATAACATATAAAAAAAATTCATGGTGAGGTAGCATGTTGTTTTACTTTTGTAATAAAAACCATTCAAGTGTTTTATTATGACATGCTAAAGTATTAAGGTAAAAGTAGCAAAAGTAGAGGAGAGCCCAAAACTGACTCAGCTACAAAGCAACTAAAGTCTGCTAACATTAGCCACCCAAGCTAACCAAGTTATGCTGAAGTAGGAAAATTGAGTTTATATTTAAAAACCAGTTGGTGTTCCAGAATAAAAGCACATTCATGCAGGGAGGGAGGTAAAATGCCAGGTCATGTCCTCCTCCAGTCTATTTTCTTACTGTCTTAGAGGAAAATTAATGGGACTTGAATCCTCTAGAGTCCAGAGAATTACCTCACACTGCTTTTGGTCATGTCAATCAAGAGACCACGCCGCAGGAGAGAGGACAGGGGTCACTGAATCCCTGCCAAACCTTTAAGGTTAAATTGCATCAAAACAAAAGAGTCACATTGAGGATGTTGGTGTGGGTCAGTGATGGAGGACAGAGAGAGGCACACATGTTAAGTGCATAGAGTGCTCAGGGTCTCACTGCATTACCATCTGGAGCTGGGAGGGTGTTTAGCCTGAGCTGTGGTTCCCTTGACAGAGCGGGGCTTCAGTGCCAGTAAAAACCCAATTTCAGTGGGTTCTGCTGGAGTTGCACTGAGTTCACTCACTGCTCATATGGGATCAATTAGGCCTGCATGAAAACATGCAACATAGAACAAGAAGGGCCGACTGAGCTCAGAGAGTAAGGGGACATCATTGTTGATGCAGTTAAAACCCTCAGATAACCCCTGAACATGTTAACTTTCACATCCCGAAAATAAGTAGGGGATAAAAGCAGTCGCATATTGGAGTGTTTAGCACAATTATAGCATTCAGAGTTCAATTCTCAGAAAAGACGGCGGGACCGTTTCTCGACCTGAAAAAATGTTTAAAAAAGCGAACCAGGAAGTTCAGCTCTTGAGACCCTCCCTGCTGGAGTGTGCTTTGCGGGTGTTGGTAAAATAAACTGAGAGAATGTTGTAGGGTGGAGACAGACCGGCTCAAGCACAGGAAAAGGGGACATGGTAGGGGCTTTAAGGGGCTTTTGCCCCAAATTGCCAAGCAAATAGCCTTTTCAGGCTCCAACTTAATACAACGGATGTGAATGAAATTGCCTTTCCTTTTTACTGTTTAACAGTTTTACTTGGATCTACTTTCTACTTCATATAAAGTCTCTATAAAAATGTTATAGTCTTTCCACAGATGTATTGAAAACACAATTTCGTTCAACTCCATTGCATTGAGCAACCATCAGACAGATATCCAAGAATGTTGACAAAAACTGCAAAGAAACTATGGTATCTTCATGGATACATAATCATTCACATTCAGACATTTGCCAACATTAAGGAAAATACTCTTACTGTCTTTCTTGCCAAGAGTTAGATTTGGTTATCAATACGATTTCATGTCTGTAGGCTAAATAGGAAGCCATTCCCAGTAGATAGTTAGCTTAGTTTAGCGAAAATACTTAAAGGTGACGTATCATGCAAAATGCACTTTTGTGCGTCTTTTATACATGAATATGTGTCCCCGGTGTTCCAGGGAACTCACCAAGTGTCAGAAAACACAACCCTCTCTATTTTCCTCCATACCCAAATCTCTTAAAAAGGGGCTGCAACGGATCTGATACAGACTGATCCAGATTTGAACACTTCTATGACGTCACAGAAGTGGTGCTACGGCTATTTGGCCAACTCCACCAATCAGGAGGAGACAGCCACGGACATTGCCGTTCGAAAGCGCTGGAGACGCTGTAGTACAGATGTAGCGATTCATTTCAGACAGTTTGAAACGCGAGGGCCGTGATTGGTACGTGATCTGCCCT